AGAAAACTACTTGCGGTGCAAATACTAAATTGAATTACAATTGAAGAAGGCAATTGCCCTATGTATTTTTTGGTGTGTATGAGAGAGATAGTCTCAACATACCATCCATCCAGCAAGCGTAAAATGTGTCATCTGCTCAGGAATAGACAATAATTCAAGCGAACTTGAAATAAAAGATACCACAGATACGATTTAGAATGCTACATATCTTAACTTGCATATAGAAATTAACAGAAAGGTCGACAAGAGTAATTTGAGCTTTTAGCTTTCAAATTTTGAATTGTCTTTAGATATGTAGCAACATTCCAGCAGTGCCGGTACACAGGTAAAATAGCTACGGACGCAAAACGTCCGTTTTACGGACGTTTAGTACCACGGACGTAAAACGTCCTTTTTTTCCCATCCGTATAACGTCCGTATTCATCTGTTACACGTCCATCATAAAGATTGTTAAATTACATCTATTTCATGGACTTATGAATAATAGTGACATAGCTCAGTATAACCACTGTACGAAACACAAATATGAGTATACACATAGTATTTAAATTTATGTAATTCTTTCAGACAAAGAGAGAGCCCTGAAATATGTTTAGTTGTGTTTCTTATTCCTCGGTTGTTCCCATGCAACCTTGTCTGGGTAAATACTGTTTGATCTCCTCATCATGGTTTTTAATAATCGATGTGAAGGTATATTACTACAAGAAGGTGTTATGCATATCACCATGATCATCATCTGATCTTAATTTAAAAAATAATTGATATTTTTCACACAGGTGCCCTATTTTGATCACAATGTTTGTTCGTCAACACATCTTTGTCTGACGATACGCCGAGATTGTCTCAGCATCTTTTTAAAGTCTTTAAGCACAGTGTTAGTATCTATAAAAGGAAAGAACCTATTTTTTTTGTGTTAAATTGAGACAGTAATTGTGATAAAAACTCAGTTTTTGTTGAAAACAATCTGTCAGAAGCATCTTCTGGAGCTAATATTTCATTAAAAAAAGTTGAGATATGGGTGCCATATGCTATTCAAAATTGTTTGAATATTAATATGTCAATATTAGTTTTTTCAATAAAAGAAGGGGAGGGAATTTAGTGAAAAATAAGATATTAGTTACAATATTTATTCCAAATTTACAATGGAAAAATTTTTTTTTTTAAGTTGCAGGTAAAAGTACCGTTAAAACTTAATTTCTGTTAAAAATTAAAGGAAAAGTTGAAATATCTTAAATGGTGGTCAGATTTTAAGAAAAATTGATGTATATATGTATTATATGCTATTCAAGAAAGTTTCCAGGTCCGAAAACTTGTTTTGTTTTTGTTTTTAATTAAAGAAGGAGATAAAATTTAATGTTGGCAAATTTATTTATTGTCAAAAATCACCAACTTTGTAGAATGTCTTCTTATGCTAGGATTTAAACTTGAGGCTCTCAAGAGCACGTGTCGCTCACCTTGGTCTATATACTAATTCAACAGTACACTCTCCAACATTGTAGACGAGAATAGAATTAATGACAACAGATCAGTTTTTTTGTTTGTTTTTTTTTTCATCTTATAGTGCTAATCATTGAATTCTGTTTAGTTTCTCTCTATCTTCATGATCTTATTTAGCTTTTGCTCCAAACACAAAAGAGGGTAAAAAAACTCCTATAGAGAGTAACAGTCTACTTATTATATCAGCAGCATTTGACTTGTTAGTAAGTCTTGTCTTGCTTATCATTTATGATTATCTAAGTTTCTATCTATCTATTATAATTTTTATCATATAAGGCAAAACGCAATAAAAATGGTAATAAACGTAATTAGAGGACAATAACTCCAATAAGGAGTCGTCAGACAATTTCCGCCATTTGTCTTAATTAATTGTATATCTTGTCTTGCTGATCATTTTTGTATGTTTAATTTTCTTTCTATCTATTATAAGTTTTTAGATATAAGACAAAAACGCAAAAAAATTGTACCTAATAAGTAGTCAACTGATGATTTCATCCATAGGACTAATTTGTATAACTTGTCCTTCTGATCATTTTTGCAACTTTAAGTATCTCTGAGTCTCTATCTATTTATAGTTTTCAAGATAATAGGCAAAAAAACGAAAAATAGTGGTATTTATTTTCAGTTAAGGGCAATACCTCCTTCAGGAAATCGTCTGACAGTAATGACGTATATGACACATTTTTAAAAGTAGATATGATGATTGTGGCCGAGTTTGGTTAACTGTGGCCCAGTAGTTTCAGAGGAGAAGAGTTTTGTAAAAATTAACTAACGACAGACACCAAATGATGAGAAAAGCTCACTTGTCCCTTTGGGCCAGGTGAGTTAAAAAAGTGATATACACGTGTAATAAATTATTTAAAAGTGATAGAAGGTACAAAAAAAATAATTAAACGAGTGGTATGAACTACCTTTTTGTTGAAAAACCTTAATTCTGGGAATCTTCAGTTTAAGTTAGGATTTCAAATTGATATATAGATATAAGATTATATTCCAAATTGTTACTCAATGTCTAGCAAAGAGTAAAAAGTTAGTTTTCGTGAGAATTTTTTAATATATATATAGGTGTAACTACATTAAAAATGATATATATATAAGTATAACTACATTAAAAATAATATATATAAGTATAACCAAATTCTAAATTGTTTCCTGATGTCAACATTGTGATATAAACTCCTTTCTTGTAAAGAGATGATAAACTTTAAGCAATATCATTCAGTTTTGCATTTCAATGGAAATCGAAAGATTTAATAACTCTGCAGATAACGTAATGATAAAAATATGCATATATGTATTGTTTTCCATATAAGTAGCCCATGTCAACACATCCATTTAACAAAAAAAAGACAATTCAAAAATTTTGAATACACTATGAAATTTACTTAGCAATTTTTATAATACAAAGTCTATCAACAAGATCTTTCTACGGCACTAAGTGAAATTTATTCTCATTTCTCATTAATTAGTCTTTGCTGGCAATGTAATACAAACACTTTTATATTTTTGTATTTTCTTCTTTTGTATGAATCAAAAGGTCAGTTAACCCTTCCACATGTTCATTTCACTGAAACCTAGTAAAAGGTTGTTTGACAATTCTGTCATATTTTATTTTGAGTATTTGTTGTTGACAGCTCGTCTCGATTGCTTCTGTTTAATCTATTGAAACTTGTATAGACTTGTGAGATTTAAGAGATCGGCTTATTGTTTAGACACCTGTCTATTGTCAAAGACCACATATATTGCCCTTTATATGTTGGTTTTTTTGTCATTGGGTTGCTGTCTCAACGATGTATATCCTTCTGTGCGTAATCTAGATATTTACATATACAAGTTACATGTGCATGTAAAACATGCCTTTCAGTTTACTTACAAATGTGATATGTATCAGTATCTTAGCACACTTTACACGTAATTCTTGATTGTACAATATTTACAATATGTGGTACACGTATAAAAATACTCTAAAAAACACTTGTGAGGATCTTGCGATTTACAGACATCGCTCGATGTATACATGACATTTACTTTTGTTGACATTCATAGATACATCATGCAGGCACCTTTACTACAAGACAGCAAACTAGTAACACAAACACGTAAAAGACAAGTTCATGCTATATTTGCAGGGCAGTATACCCTTAATTCATGACGGGATGTCAAAAACATGAACCTTTATTATAAACCAAAGCATGATATTTTCTTTTAAACCATTTTTTCACGTTAATATATCAATTTCTTAATATTAAAGTGAAAGAAATGTAAATATTTTACAAGGATTTTTTAATGAAAATAAAACATGTGATTTTACAGCCGTAATACGGACGTTTTAGAAACGTCCGTAAAACGGATGTTTTAGAACGTCCGTAATACGGAAGATCCGTTTTACGGACGTGGTACTATTTTTCCGTAAAACGTCCGTGGTACGGATGTTTTACGGACGTATTTCATAACGTCCGTAAAACGTCCGTAGCTATTTTACCTGTGTATATGGAGTATATATATCTCCGAATTTGTACTTACCATGATAACACGTCGGGTGCCACACATGGAGCAGGATTTACAGAGCTTACAATCTTGAGCATCTAATGTGACATCGTTTTTTTGTGAGGTTCGTTGTCTATGTAGTGTATCGCCGTTTTTTTTTTTTTTTGTCATGACTTTGTCGGTTTCTCTTCGACTTATCAGTTTTAGTTATCCCTAATACCTCTTTTTTATATACACAGGGGAATGCTTTTCATACCTGTACTTATTCTTGACAAATGGAATGACATCAGTTCGTTGTGCTATACAAACTATACAAAGAGAATAACACATCCTTTATCCTTTGCATAAAAAAAAATCTTAGGTCATTGCGTTCTACATTAATATTACAAGTTGGAGTATCTCAAATTATCATGATTTATACATGTATTTATCCTGCTCGACAAATCTAATTTGATAAATATTCCAAATTTGTAACTGTAGCTTTGGTCATACGCCTTGGCTTGGTAACCAGATGGAAACTAAAGCAATTGCCAAGCACCTAATAATTTCCATGTTTACACACCTTAGTCATTATCTTATGTATCGACAATAAATTTCATACATATATAACAACACAGGAGTCAACAATGAAATAGCATTTCATAAATGCTGCTCATAATGCAATATCAATTAATACAACACAAACATAAGTTTTTTTAGAGAATGTGCACTTATACATCCATGCTATTAAACAATGAAAAATGTAAATTTACATCAACTTATATAACTCTTGAGTGAATCTTAAGGAAAAATTGCAATTTTTGCTTATTAATTCTATCTCCGGATGGACATTATATATATATATATATATATATATAGATTTATTACACGTTTTGTTCACATATTAGTTTTGTAAAGGTTCTCTTTCAGTTTCCAAACCAGCTTGCTAAACCATTGAAAAGAGCAGGAGTACATGTGGCCTGCACAGCTGTTGAGACCATGTCCTTTCCAAAATCATAAATTCCATTGCCAATTTTCTATAAAATACCGCCGTCGGCTTCCACTTCGTTTCGAACAGATGTACGGCGATCGACCGCTGTCATTCTTTCATTTTCTTTCCTCAATTCATCCATTCGTTTTTGCAGTTCTTCCTCAGCTTTCTTGTACATTTCGTCTGTATAAAATGGTTGATCATTTTCTGTGATCATTTTGTCAATTATTTCTATTAACGATTTTAGTTGTTTCGTCTTCTGATTTTTTTATGTGAGTTTATTATTGAAAACTACAAACCTGTTGTCGCATTTCTGGACGAGTTTCTGAAGAGATGGTGCTGAATCTGCAACTCTTTGTTCAATAGAATCTTCTTTATGAATACTGTCTCCATGACTGAAAATAATAACCATGTAGTTCATGAGTTTTTCGCCAAATACATTAATGAATTGCAATGCAGTCGCCTCTTCTTTTTTGGTAAAACGAACCGCGAGCGGCACAACAAAAATAATAGCATGTGGACCTGGGGAGGTTATTCCGATGCACTTAACAACTTCTTTGGTTACGTCCACGGTTTTCATACCCGTGTCAAATAATCCAGGAGTATCGACAACAATGAGATTATATTTCTTGTTTCCTAGGTCGTGAATGTTTTCACCTCGTCTGCAGTGTGTCGTAGAGGATGAACTACTTGATGCTGACGCGAAAGCCTCTTTCTGAAGGATACTATTACCTGTTTCACTTTTACCACTTCCTGTTTTCCCGATCATTACTATACGTACTTCATTTTCTATTCCTACAAGGGAACAAATGTTATGGTACAAATTCGGTTATCTAAGTTAAAAAAGTAGACCGTAGTTGTTTATAACAGTTGTGTGCAAAAACTATTTAAACTTCAATTGAATGAAGATTAATTATGCAAACTTACTTATGTTTTGAAATTTTTCATAAAAAAATATGCTTGGGTTCTCAGTGAACTTCACCCTTTATCCTTTTCGTTATTATTACAACTTTTAAAAACTTATTCAAACTGACTAAAAGTCGATAAAGTTAACTCATTTGTGAAGTCTGCTGATTCTTTGGTACATTGAATATATTCCAATAGACTTTGTTGATTTTTGTGTTTGAAAAACCGACTTTACATCTGGAAAAACTTTGTAAAATAACTTTTGTTTCATCTTATTCCTGTACAGTAAACTTATTCAAAATTATAACAGTAATAATACTATTTGGTCTGTTTAAGAATGAATGAATAGATATCAAATTGTTATTAGTATCAAATATTTGATATTCGTGGGATACCAATTTGTGTGGAGGTCAATCACGAATTTAAATGTTCAACGAGGTTCAAATGTTTATAGGGTGTTTTGCAGATCCACAAAATCCAATATTGACGAAAATATAATTTTTACCAATCTACGCATATTGGTTTTCAAAAATAAAAAAAAATGAATCCACAGTACATTGAATTAATTTTGATATAATCCATGAATAATCATAATATCTAAATGAATACGCACTGGTGAAATAATGGATAACGACAACTTACGAGCATTTAAATCAACAACAATAACTAAAAATTGAAGTAATTTCTTATGAACAGGCATTACATTAATCGATTCCGAATACAAATGCATAGAGAATGATATCATACAAATGCTAGACTTTTTGATCGACAACATCATTTTTGAGTTTAATGAACTAGTATTTCAATAGTCCATGCCAACAGTCGGTTGTCCAATGGGAACTCATTGTGCACCCTACGTGCCGACTTCCTTTTGTACTGATATAAAGCAGAAAAAATGCAAAACCTTCTCAGAAACAAACAAAAACAGAAACGCAACGTTTTTCTAATGTTCGAATTCGCTTTCAAATAAATTAATAATGTCCTATCACTCAATAACCCAAATTTCAGTTAGTGCTTGTATCACTCATATCCCAATGATATTACCAACTAAAAGGTAGGCTTTATATCTTGATCGTTTTCTCGATACTGACACATATATGAACGACTTTATACTAGAAACTTTAACTCACTTGATGATTTGAACTTTCCATTCGCCTACTTTACATTTTTCAGAAATAACGTACTCCCTGTCCCATTGTTTGACCTTTACATATCTCCATTTATACGTTAGGCGGTTGCATGTTAACACTATATGGACTTCATTTGTGGGGGTCTGCTCATAACACAAAAACTGCTCCAATAGAAGTTTTTTGGTCACCATTACCAATGTGTTGATCGATAAGATATGACTGTTTCTCAACTCATTTGCGACACATGTTTACTGTCTAAGATCTGTTTGTACAAGTATGGTCGTCTTACTTGTATTTCTTGTCCTTTTTCCGATTGTGATATTTTGACTGATTGTGATGGCTTGTGGTGCATGCATAGCAGGAGACACTTATCACATCGACGCATACGGTTTAAGTCCTTTAGATATTCATGTGATTGTCTTATTTTGTTTGTTACCCTGATTTGTTTTCTTTGTCTATTTATGGTATTTGAACATCGCCTTAATTCATTGCATGACAAGCATCGCGTTGCATACAACATTAACCTGTCGGAAAACATAAAAAAACCGTTCATCACAACTAACATAAAAAAAAACAAAGATTAAAGTAAAATCATAGTCTTTGAATGATTTCCTGTGGTCGGCAATCGATATGTAGGCTGAAAGTAAAATAACAAAAATACAAATTTCCAATGAAAATTTAAATCGGAAAATCCCGTATCAAATGGCAAAATCAAATATTTGGAGAAACAAAAATTCAAACAATTGTTTACTTTCCATTACAAATAAACAAATATTTTCATACCTGCAGAACTGCATGAGAAGGTATTTCCCATTTCTATGATTTGTTATAGTACAAGTTTGCAATTTTCTGAAATAAATGAAATATGTCAAATCAAAATACAATCTAAGATCTTTATATGACAATTGATTGGGAAGAAAAATATTTTTAGAATCAAAAATAGTTAAAAAGCAGTTAAAAGAGTTTAATGTAAACAATCATATATCAATCCTCTGTGTACAATATTGGAGAGGTCTGATACCTTAGACTTTAGAATTGAACATCTCAAGCCTTCCATCATACTTTTAAAACATAATGTCAACGTAGACGTCATATGTGTCAAGAAATATCAATGCAATGTACTGTATTTTATTGACAAACAACATAGATATATATCTATATATATATTTGCCAACTAAAAAAACTTTTATCCTGGTATGCACTATTTTTTTTACATCAAAACTAATATGAAAATAAACAATAATGGATCGGAAATTGTGTATCGTTTGTCTTTTTGTCAGTTATTTGTCATGTATAGTAGCAAATTGTTGGGTCAACTACTTCTTATATAGTTTGTTCTAATGTAAATAATTCTGTCACAATCTGTATGTGCGTGCAAAAGCAATGATCCTATGTTCCAGTGGTTCTCGTTGGTGTCAATTAGCAATTATTATTTTTAGTGTAATGGTATTAGCTTTAACAATGTCGTTTATTCTCTATTATGCATTTGTTGATATTGCTATACTTACTATACGGTATATACGTTTTAGCTTATTGCCAAAGGCCACATGGTGACATGTTGTGGTTAACAGTGATGTCTGTTCATTTATTCATTAATTCATTCATAAATGCATACATTCATAAAATCATTCATGCATTCATTCATAAAATCATTCATGCGTTCATAAATTCATCCATTCATGCATTCATTCATGCATTCGTTCATTCATTATACATATTGATAAAACGTTTTAGAACCATTTAGTGGAGCAGAATTAGTTTAAACCCTGAATCATCAGCGTTTTAAATCTTTTTGTTTTTGTTTATTTTCGTGTAGCAGAATCTTTCATTTTCTGTTTAACTATTGGCTTACAGTTACAACAATTGGAAATATATTATGCTCTAAGTCGGTCCAAGTATAAAACTGTTGTTAATTAATTAATCAAATGCTATTGACAAACGCAAAAAATACTAAACTTCAGTCTGATTGAAAAAAACATATATTATACGTTTCTTCTCTTCACTTAAATAAATCTGACAACCCTCTATTTTTTATAACAACAAGGAGATAGTTATGTTTGCTAATGAGACAACTACTCACAAGAGACAAAATGCCGTAGATAAACACTTATATGTTCAGCATGTCCATCAACGTTGAACAAAACCTATACTGTGTATAAAATCTTTAAAAGACCCCGACATGACAAAAGGTAAACATATTTAAACGAGAGAGCTAACGACCTGAAGTACAAAACAGTAAACAAAATACAAATATTATAGACAGCAACCAACGACAACTACTAGATTACAAGCTCATGTCTCGAGACAGGTACACACAGAATGTAGCCGAAATAAAGACAAAAGACATAAAGTACCGATCTAAGAGTACTCGAAGTTCATGAATGCCAAAAACAACGCCAATTACAATTAATAGATGAATCATGTTCTCCAAGACTAAACTATCAATCATTACACATCTAATGGATTAATTTTAATGATGTCATAAACGGTCTGAGAAAAATATGACATGATTCAATTCCAAAATACAAATATCGACATATTTAGGACCATAAGCGTCCATAACTGTATTACGATACATTCTTAGTTATGTTGTTTTTAATAACAACATAATACATCTTAGTACCGATAGATTCAAAAACAATATTAAAGCATCTTATGGGATCGATGAGTTTACATGTATCGCGTCTTAAGTAACGAACTCTGTAAACAACCACTATCAAAAGGACAATGTGATAGCTCGTTTTTGATAGGTTTTATACAAAAAAAAACAAAATTCCAAACCAAATCTATATAACTATGACAAAAAAGGTAAAGGTTTTAAGTAATTTATTGTAACGAAATCCCTGACTTAATGTTATGCTTTCATAACCTTTCCATCAAGCGATGCAATTTATGAAGACAACATATTTAAGAAGAGTATGATTACATGTGTAACGTCACAGTACCCATATTGCACTGAGTACCCAAATTGTACCTATTGAGCAAAAATAGCAGCGGAAATCTTGAAAGTTTTCTTTGAGACGAAACCATTTGTATTTTTATGATTTGACATTATACACGTCTTTCAACATAAGTAAATATATTCAAATATACACAAGACGTCCACAGTATATACCAATAGATGAAGTATGAACTGGAATTAGTTAAATCTACGGAAACGTCGCCATGCGACGTCAACAAGAAGTCATCTTTTAAAAATGAGCAAATACAATATGTTACAAGCATCCATTTCTTAAAAAATGAATAGTAAGCTTGGACTAATGTCAAATTCTTCTAACTGTTTGAAGAAATAAAACAAAACATTTGTTATTCGATTTTTAGGGATGTTAATTTAAGCATGGATGCAATTTGGGTACTCCTCATTAGAGAGTAATTGATGATTTGGAGGTCGGTTCAAACCCATTTTTCTAAAAAAAAAATAAATTGGTGTAACTATATAGTAAATAAGGATACATCTACAAAATAAACACAGAATGGAAACTTTGGTGTGGATCATATATAAACGTAGGTAAAGAACTGTCAAAATAGGTGCAATTTGGGTACCCTCACGTTATACATCAATAAAGGCCGTGGCATTTCCGGCCTTTTCCAATGCATGCGTAATTTCCTTTGACACATACATAAATTTGATATTAGCTTTCATTCAATTCAAAGAGTCATTCTTTATTAATAAATGACGACATTTGGTATAATTGCGAATGAGACAACTTTCCACCAAAAGGACAATATGGCGGTACCAAACATGTTTGTAAGTAAGTGTGCAACCCTACCAATAATCAGTGACAGTGTTATTATAACAAAACATTAAAGCAGACAGTAAATATCGGGAGTAAATTTGATCATCAGATCGATATAAAGTTCAAGCCAATGGCCAATTAAAAAAATCATAATTATTGAAATTAGTTTTCAATTAGTACATTTATATGGTGTAAAAACGTCAAACGCGATCGGAGGAAATCAAGACCTTGTTCAGTATGGACAGGAACACAAGCGTTAATAGTTGGATTGTAATACATGCAAAATAATGCAATAAACTGTTGAAAATTAAATCAAAATAAGTGTATAATGCATCGATAAAAACAATATTCAAAGATCCTTGCCACAATAGTAAATTGATAATCTTTAAATTTTTAGCCATATAAATAACATTGTCGTAAAATTAGAATGTGATATCCCGTCTGTGATAAGACTTTTACAGATGAGCTAGACTTTACAAAAAAACATGCACAGTTTATTTTTAGTATTTTTTATGTAATTTGTAGTTACAAATCGCTGACATAATAATTTAACTAGTTATGAATTGATTATCTTAATATTGTGTTTCATTCTACAGGTGAAGGTCGAAGGTTTTAACTGAATTTTAAAATATAACGCAATTGTCGGAGTACAGACGCTCAGGTAAAAAAAACCGCGTAATATCTGTGTGTCTTTACAAAATACAAAAGCACTTTTTTCACGTAGCACGTAGAAACTTTGATGATATGACAATAAAAACATGCAATAAAATTTTGTTTTATCCATTTCTGTGTTAATTTGTTATTATTTTTTCTGTTCTAAAGTTTAATTTTGT